CTCGGTGATGGATTATAATTTATTTTTATTTGCTTCTTCGTGCTTTTCAATTTAAAAAATGGAAAATATGCCCTGGACGGTTTGGCTCAGTGGATAGAGTGTCAGCCTGAGGACTGAAGGGTCCCAGGTTTGATTCCGGTCAGGGATGCAGACTCAATCCCCAGTGTGGGGCGTGCAGGAGGCAGCCAATCCATGTTCTCTCTCATCATTGATGTATCTCTCCCTCTCCCTTCCTCTCTGAAAACAATAAAAAAAAATTTTTTTAAGGAAAATATAACGACCACTGATTGGTTTTGCAAACAAAAAACGAGACTCATCTCCGTGAGACTGTTGAAAAGCCCAAACATACTTGGCGTTAAGGAAAAAGCAAGCCGAGCCCTAACCTGCAAGTAAGGGCCGGATTTCCTGTGTCAGTCCTGGCCTGTAGGTTGAGAGCTCCACCGTCCAGCTTTAAAGAGGGAATATGTAAGTGCATACGCGACTGTGTTGTAATGGAATAGAAAGTAAACGTCCTGAGGGCCCACGGGCAGCAGCTGCATGCTCTGCAGGATTGCACACCCCGGCGCGGACCATAACTACCCATCACAGCCACCAACCGCCCAAACGCAGAGCCCAGCGCCCAAATCAGGGTGAAAATCTGCAAAAGCAAACGGAGGCGGGGCTTGAAGGAGACTGACACTGGGCTCGGCCTCTCAGCATTACAGCTCCGCCTTTCTAGCCTACATCCCTCTCTGAGTGGTTGAAGACTGCGGAGGTGAATTCCCATTGGCCACCAGCAGACACCAGCTTTGCGCGTCAGGGCGCCGGAGCGGAAGTCGCCATGGTGCGGTTCAAACACAGGTAAGCAGCGCGTGGCTCGCCCCTCGTGCCCTTCCCTGCCCGGTGCCCGCAACCCTGGCCTCTGCTCACCTCCCTCGCGTCCGCCCAGGTACCTGCTCTGCGAAGTGGTGTCTGACGACCCCCGCTGCCGCCTGAGCCTGGATGACCGAGTGCTGGGCGGCCTTGTACGGGACACGGTCGCCCGCCTGCACGGGACTTTCGGCGCGGCCGCCTGCTCCATCGGCTTCGCGGGTACGAAGGTGCTGGGGAACCCAGAGGGCTTGGGGGCCGGAGGAGGGAGAAGGGGCACAAGCGGCCCACGGAGCTGCCAAGCCTGGTGCAGCATCCACGAATTGTTTTTTGTTTGTTTTTAATATGTTATTCATTCAGAGAGGGGGAGGGAGAGGGAGAGGGAGAAACATCAGTGATGAGAACCGGCTGCGTCCTGCACGCCCCCTACGGGGGACTGACGTGACCTCCCCGTTCATAGGTCCAGGCTCAACCACTGAGCCAGGCGGCTGGGCCACGAAGTGGTCCTTTTCAGGCGTCTGGGACTCGGAGCTCCAGGTGTGGACAGTCCAAAGTTAGGCGGGGAGCTAAGACAGAAGGCAGTGGAACTTTGGGCAAGAATCCCCTGTACCTATTTGACACGTGTATATTGGTGATTGCTACTGAATTTAATAGGATGACTAGAATTAAATGAGGGGAGGTGTGTATAGTTCCTATGAAGTTAGGTGACTGGTTACATTAATATCACATGGGGAAAAGTCAGAATTAACCCTGAAAAGCCCTTAATAGGGCCTGTAAAGCACAGAACACACAATTGTATGAAAATGAGGAAGAAATGGTGCCTCCCAGGAGCCACACAAATCTATATTCCTTCCCTTTTACTATATGCTTAAAATGGGATCCTGGGAAATTATATGCACACTAGGGGCCCAGTGCACGAATTCGTGCACCTTGAAAGGAACTGTGGGCCACGAGGCTGGGGTGGGCAAAGGGGCAGGTCTCGGCCTATCCTCCGTGGCCCCCGTACCCTCTCTGCCAGCAGCCACGCTCCCACCACTGCCACTGCTCCCACGTACTGACAGCTCCAGCCCCACTCGCACCCGCTGACTGTGTGGAGCAATTGGGCCAGCATCAGCAGCAGATGCAAGCAGGTGCAAGCAGTGGCTGCTGCTCCAATCACCCCTCAGGAGCAGGGCGAGGTGGAAAAGCCCTCAGAGGTGATCGGGGCCCGCAGCCGCCGCTCGCACCCACTGATGGCGCCATGCGATTGGGACCGGCGCCAGGCGTGGGTACGAGCGGCAGCTCCCGTGCCAGCTGCGGGTGTAAACGAGGCCAGCACCAGCAGTGGGTGCTAGCGGCGGCTGCCAGCGCTGGCAGCAGGTGCAAACACCAGGCGGGACCACAGTGCACGGGAGCGAAGAATTTTCAGTAATCACCAGAGGCTCGCCCCAATGACAGCAACCAGCACCCCACCTCTGTCTGGCACCCCCGCTCACCTCCTCCACCATTCCACCATGGCCAACACCCACCATGTTCCGCGTGCACCCCCTGGTGGTCAGCGCACATCATAGTGACCGGTTATTTGGTTGTTCTGCCGTTCCATCTATTTGCATATTAGAGTTTTATATATGTATAGATAGAAGACAGGCACAATGGTACCTCAGGTGAAACTCAGATGGCTGCAGAGCCTTTCTTCAGCCAAGGGTTTGGATCTCCACCTCCCCACCCCCAACGTATTAGCAAGTCAGTGAATTAGAAGAACATTCAGAATTCTAAATTCATCAGTTCTGAGTGGTGTGCAAGGCACTGGCTATTGTCTCCCCTCCCCCTTCCATAAATGACAATCCTTTTTCCTTCAGGAATCTGTTCTTACTCAGTGATGTGTCCCAAGTGCCACTGCTTTGAACAGTTGTTGGCACTTGATAGGCTTAGTTACCCTAAGACCTTTGACCTGCTGCTAAGAATCCAGTTTCCCAAAGATTTTTTTCCTGCTGTAGTGCGATACCTCAATGCCTATACTGGAATAGTGCTGCTCCGATGCCGAAAGGAGTTCTACCAGCTTGTGTGGTCAGCTCTTCCCTTCATCACACACTTGGAGAACAAAGGACACCGTTACCCGTGTTTTCTCAACACCTTGCACGTGGGAGGTAGGCTGCGTGGGGTGTGGCTGATTTTCAGTGGGTGTCAGGCTCAGAGTTCAGTCATGTCTGGTGGGTGGGTCTTCCTATCCTGCCAAGAGCAAGATGCTTTCCCCTAGCTCTGAAAGTCTCTGAGGCAGACACCTGTCACCACAAAGCTCTCTCATGTGCCAGGTACAATTAGAACATGTCAGAAGTTCCTGATTCAGTACAACAGGAGACAGCTGTTGATCTTGTTGCAGAACTGCACTGATGAAGGTAAGCAACACTAACCCAGTGCGTACTGAGCAGACTGGCTCCCGGCTGTCAAGAACATCTTTCACCCATGCTGCCTGCCTTTCTCCAGGAGAGCGGGAAGCTATCCAGAAGTCCGTCACAAGAAGCTGTTTGCTGGAGGAGGAACCGGGTGAGGAGGAGCTTTCAGATGGTGAGGAGGCTGCTGAAGCAATGGAGTGAACCTCTGCGGGCTGCACTGTGCCAGGCCTCGGGGCCCACTTATTGGAACAGGGCATTCTGGGAGGCAGCTGGATCTACATTTCTAGGATCTGCTTTCTCCATCCTAGAATGGATGTCACTCAGAGTCCCGGACACATCTGGTAGATTTGTGACTTCTGCCTCAACCTGCCCTTTCATCTCAGGCTGGAACGCCCTCATCCCCCCCGAGTTCCTGACCCTGGATTTCTGAACGGCTTTCGGTTAAGAATGACAGGTTAAAGCTAAGCCCAGCTCACACTCATAGTAGCTGATACTTTAACCTATTTATAATAAGTATGTCCAGCTGACCTGAATTGAACTTTTTTTTAAAAAAAAAAAGCTGCCCTGTCCAGGCAGCTCAGTTGGTTAGAGCATCGTCCCGATACGCTAAGGTTGCAGGCTCGATCTCCAGTCAAGGAACATACAAAAATCAACCAATGAATGCATAAATAAGGGGAACAAAAATCGATGTTTCTCTATTTTTTCCCTCTCTAAAAACTCAATGAATTAAAAAAATAAAACAGAAAGCTCACATTGCTTGTGCAGGTAATTTATTGCAACTGTTTGCCTTCACATTCTGTTAGACCTAGAGGTTACTTTATTAAGCAGCAAAAGAATTCACATCACTCAAATTTAGCTCAAACCAAGGCATAAGACTACTCTAGACAACAGAGGCAGTGGGCAGCCCTGCCGCTTTCAAACCTGTCCTACTCTACCTCCAGGTGTGCTGGACGCCTGCTCCTACAACTCGGGCTACTGTCACTTTAAACAACTTTGATTTAAAGGTTGGAAGGTCCTAAGCCTTCCTTAGTGAGTTATGTCTTTCCTTGCCAAACAGAAGCCATGTGGAAAAGGCAAAACCCTCCATCATACATGCAAGTGCAGCCTAGGTCTAGCCCCAGAGCCTGGCCATGCCAGACAAAAAACTGCAATTCGAGCTGAGTATCCTAAATCCATTTTATTCCATCCCTCTGTTTCTTTAAGGACTGGACAGACAGAAAAGATTCAACTACTTTTAAAAGACTCACTGAAAGGTGCTGACACCAGGATGCTCTGGCACATGACGTCAGAGCACAATAGTGCTATTTAACACGCTGTTCTGGGCTGCTTTTCCAAGGGATGTTGAAGGGACTTGTTTATTTAAGGTTGAGAAAAACTTGTTTATTTACACATGGTCAAAAAGACTAACCTATAACAAACTAAAAACCTTGGCAGGAAGAGATCTCTTATGAGTGTCAATACTTTATTTTGGTGTAAAGACGGGAAGCTGGAAAATACACTGTATTTAAAATCTTGGTTCCCCCTCATATTGTGGAAACCCCCTCCCCCCAGAACTAATCTGTTCAAACTCAGATACTTAAAAATTACAGCAGCAAAACAAAAGCACGGAAAAAAGAAAACCAGCTGGAGAAGTAGCCTGGGCCGGTAGTGTCACTTGGTGTGGACGACTGAGGTGCTGAACAGGAGCTTCTGTTTCTGTTTTTTTCTTTTCTTTCCTCCTTTCTCTTCTAAACGGAAACAGAAAGAGAACTTAGCTTAGAATGCCACCCCTTGTCCCCTGGCCAGTTTTCATGACTGAGAGTGACAATGGCAGCTAAGAGTACAGGTTCTGGAATCAGAATGCCAGTATTCAAATACCAGTCCTTGCATACTCTTTGTTTTTGGACAAGTCTCTTTATCTCCCTAGAACTGTTTCAAGTGTAACAGAACTATACCTATTTAATCTGGCTAATGGGAGAGTAAATTAGCGCAATGCCAGGCACACACAGGAAGCACAACATAAATGTCATTCTCTAATCATGAATGTCAGAGTGGGCATGGGCTTCGAGCCCAATTTCTGCATCTATGAGCCACCCTTTACCAACTCAGGATTCTAAAATCCACTCTCCACTGCTGTGTCTTAGAAGCGAAAATAAAAGTTCCTCCGAGCGTCATATCCAGGCCTCAAGAATGAATCTGAGGTGGCAAAAAGTTGCTATGTGACACCAAATGGAATGTTAGCTGCCACGAGAAGGTGAGCCTAAGGGCTCAGGGAAATGCCCGGCTGATGAGTGCCATCTGCCACAGGACCCAGACTGGAAGGACAACCCTGTGCTGAGCACTCCCCCTGCCTTTACCAGAGAGGGCATCTGAAGTAGCGGGCGTGTCCAGTTTCATGAAGGCTGCTTCGATAGCTTGGCTGAAGGAATTCTGGAAACTGGGCACAGGAACACGGTCCGAGTTATCACTCTCCCCATCACTGTCCATGGTGGCAGGAGGGACTAAGCTGTTTTCATCTAAAAAACAACCAGTGTTACAATTCTAGGAACAACTCTAGAGACTTATATCTTCTGAAAAGGGAAAAACCGCCCTTCACCAGGAGGGCCATCCTCACCTTTCTTTGGAATAGTTTTGGGCCACACATCTGCTTTTGCTTTTCCAACTCTCAGCATCTGCCAAAGTGGGAAAGGGGGGGGAAAAAGAAATCTAATGATTTGCTGAATAATGAGAACACTGATTCTCCCTCAACTACTCTTAGCCTCTCTCTTCGGTACGTCTACGATAATATCTTGAGACTAAATCTATGAACTTCCCTCTTAAGAAAGCCTTGTGATTATCAGAATCAGTGCAACATTAGCCTATGAGCC